AGTTTTGGGGTGGTTGGTCAGGTTGTTGAGATTGGTAGATGGGAGAAGTAGGGTAGGGTTTGAGGGCTGGTTGTTTAATTGATCCAATTCTGGCAAGGGACACTCCCCCGGTTCCACCGTGTGGCCCATTTGGGATGTCAGGTGGGGGAGTTTTGGGGTGTTTTAGTTATGGGTCTTCCACTGCGCAATGGGGGAGTGCAGCATTTTTTTTGTATGAAGGACCCCTCCCCCCCCCCCCCAGCGCCATATAATTTCCTATATAAACAAGTCCATACTAAGAGGTGACGATGAGCACAGTCTCCTTTTGGAGGGGATCCCTATCAACGACCCCTTCGACAAGACGCAGCCCTTCGGCTGCCAAAGCCCCGTAGCACGCCGAAAGGTCCCACCGGGGGCGGGGGAGTTGATAGAACAGACGACGAGTCACTCTTCGACGAGTCGTCAGAGCTCCGAGTCGGAGTGAGGACCGGCTTGTTGCCGGCTTGGGCAATAAAGCTTGGATTGATGACGTTTCGACGCATGGTGTTGATGTGTCCTTTGGTTCTGGTGTGTGTGTCGTTCGTTTGTGTTATGTCGCCATATTCGCCCTAGTTCATCAAACCTTTCAAATAACTACCAGGTAACAAGGTCCTTTCATAGCTCGAAGCATCTTCAAGTAGAAAACATGCTCTGGGAGTTTTTACCATCTACAGTGTTGTTCTCGAAGAATTGTCCTCGAAATATGCCAGGGTTACCTGTGCACCCGAAGACTAGACTCGTTTTAAGCGTGCCAGGAAGCGTTTGACCATTCCCCGCTCGCGAAAGGCGAAATTGAAACAAACTCTCTGGCGACTTTTATGACCGCAAGCGGGACAAACCTCCGAGTCTCAAGTTCAAGTTCAACACAAACCATGGCAAAATCAGCCTCAAAAAGCGTGACCTGCACGGGTATGACTTCTGAGCTATTTGTGTCCATGAGCGCTCACTAACGGCCATGAGGAAGGAGGTGCAAACCATTGTGCCCGCTCGTTCAAGACGCCTGACACGCGTTCCCGACAATACCGGTGGGATTGGGGAAAGCCGCAAAAGAGGCATAGGTGTAGGGTCCACGCGGGGGAGACCCCGTGAGACGCCCTGTTTTCAACCATCGCTTGGTGTCAGACTCCAAATTCTCACACGTATGTCTGTTCCGTCATCGTTTCCGACGGCTTGTCATATCCTGCAGCATTCTGTTGCGGATGGAAATACGGGTGGGACGTGACGAACGAGATAATTGAATGCGAGGACCCGAACCTGCTCTACGTTGGCGATGATGTCGACTGCGGCGACGGCACCAGCAGCAGCCTTAAATGTACTGAAGATTTTTGCTGCGGTTCAGGTAAGACAGCGCGTTTTAGAATTTTCGTTAGTGGGCTCCGGTATGTGACGCCGCCTAAACGCTCGGACGCAGCAGATTTTCCGCTGACACACGGGGGAAGGATTCGTTACTGTCGACGACTTTGTTCGCATCGGGGATGCTTGCCCGAGAGAGTTCCTTCAAGCGACGTGTTCGAAAGTGGTGGCCCATTGCGGAGATGCTCCACTGTATCATGTGTTGAGTTCTCTGCTGCCGGTACGTGAAGGAAGTAAGTGTATTAAGGGAACCGGTACAGAGGTCCTCTGGTTAAATGCGAAGATTGCTGTGGAGCGCAAGCAAGTGCTAGGAACCATGTCGAACAGGATGTTCAGAAGCCCTCAGGCGATGATGGCCATGATGATACTATTCTCCGGTATCATGACGAACAAGTCAACACGATTTTCCAAATGATGGATCTGTATCTTTATTTTGTTGACCCCGTGTTCATGCCCCACGAATGTCTCTCCTGTTTCCTATCCTTGGTGCTACCAACAACGACAACGCCGACGCCGATGCCAGCACCTACGCCGTTACCCACACCAGCGCCTACTACGCCGTACCCTACTACGCCGTACCCTACTACGCCGTACCCTACTACGCCGTACCCTACTACGCCGTACCCTACTACGCCGACACCCACGATACAACCCAGCACGACCCCGTCACCATCTACGCCACCCCCGACGCCGGCACCTACACCGTACCCTACAGGGGGAGGGCCTTCACCCCCACCAGGTGGGAATTTGTCGGCGGGGCCCGTTTCTTGCCACCGACTGGTGTTGATGTAACGCTTCCTCCTTGGACATCGCGCCGGTACCATGTAGCCAACTTTCTATTCAACGTGTCATTTTCTTTTACTGTGTAATGCGCGTGAACGATCTACTACCACTGCCACTTATCTGCGTCTGCTCCCTTTGGTGGGTTAACAGGCACAAGAGGCCGTGAGTGTGTGAAGTTAGAACTACTGCTGTCTAGCCGTCCATGTTGATACTATAATACATACGCGTTCGTTGCTGGAGTTGTCTTCGCTCTTTTTGCTCCTCCCATGCATAGGCACCATGATGTTGATACGACCCCACAAAATTTGCACCGTGTTTATGTATCGCGTGGTCTCTTTGCCCTACCGTCTGTGCGACCATCAGTGCCGCCAACGCCTCCGCCGCCAACACCTACGCCTACGCCGCCAACACCTACGCCGCCAACTGGTAAGATAAGAGGTGTCGAATCGGCGTGGCTTCCCGTAATGTTGTATATATCGCCAGTGTCAGCGCTATAGATAGTCTAGCTTGAACGAACCCGAGGTCGGAGTACCTCCAATTTCTATTCTTCTTATTCTTGTTTGTTCTTATTGGTATGATTTCGTTGTATTACTGTGGTTTGTCTGTAACCCTCCGACAATACTCAAGATTAGACTAAATCAAGAATTACAAAAACATTTTCAAGATTCCGCACTGAACTTCGAACGCTAAACGGCTTAGGCGACCACCCTCGAATGCCTGTTGAGGCACGTAATATTTGCTCGAAATACTATGTATGTAGATCTTCACTTGGCTCTTCAGATGTGTTATTTCAAAGTGCAGAGAAGGGTCAGGCTGTACACGGTTAGTGTCGACATTGGCATGTCGTGCCACTTTACCACACGGCTTGCGATACGGCTGTACCCCCTTCGCTTGCAGATGATGACATGTGGGGTGACCCCCACATGAGAGGGCTCCGTGGCCAGTCAATCAACTGGTCTGGGGTTGACGGCGGCTGGTACTCCCTGATCAAGGACGACAGCGCCGATCTCAACGTCAATGTTCGCGTCACCGCTCCTCTGCCGGACGAGTTCCCCAACCGCCAGCTGATGACCAGCCTGGCTGTTCTGTCAGAGGGGCACTCTCTCGTCATCGAGGTCGCCAACCCATACACCACCGATACGGACGGCTGTCCTGAGGAGGTCTCGCCCTGTCTTTCGAACGGAGGACTGCGGATCATTGCCGACGGCCAAGAGGTGGACGAACTCCTTCAATTCTCCCGGGAGATGCCGGTGGCAGACGGTGCCATGACTGTGTCTGCATCCAACCTTCCCGTGGAGTGCCGGCAGTTCGGCGGTCACAAGATATGGGCCCGCATGCACCAGGAAATGCTTGACGGCAGGCGCGAGCTGCTCGGAGGTGAAAGCCTCGAAGAATGGATCCTGAGGTACGACCACGCCATGGCGGCGCCCGATTGGTGCAACAAGTACATCGCCGAGAACGACCTCGCCGACCTGCAGTCCATCCACGCCATCTTCAAGATCGAGACATCTACTGTCACGGTACGTTTGAACGCTGGCGTGAACTACCAGGGCGACGGCGACGTAGACGGGGACGGACGCGTCCTTCCTGACCTGGAGTTCTGGCAGATGGATATTGGGCTGCGCGGGGTGGACTTGGACAACCCGGCGTTGTCTGGCCTTCTCGGTGAGACGGCCCGCCCGGTATACGACGAGAACGGACAAGCGGTAATGAAAGGTTTCCGCGCTTTCCGTGGCAGCGTTGAAGACTACCGCGTATCCGGCGCTCTGGGCGTCCACTTCCCCCTCCTCGACGAGAAGGAGGAGGGCCATGAGTAGAATCCGAGAAAAGACTAAGAACGCATTACCCTGTAGTCTATGGTGTCACCAGCGGGCACATTTGAAAGTGGCATACGAGGTGGACCGAACAGCGAATTCGCACATCAGAAGACACATTCGCCGAGTTTGTTTTTCTGGTTGAGCGTGTGGTAAGATTCTCCTCCCTACTATTTAGAAGATGTGCCGTGAGGCTGAGGAATTTTCGAGTTTACCCTCGCTGTCTCCGCATTTCTACCTTGTCGGGTGGTATTCTTCAAGACAAGAGATGGGTGCGCGAGGCTCATGTTTGTCTGAGTGTACGAAAAGTGAAAGACATCGCACTTCCTCGCTGAGAGGGAGACCGCGAGTTTTGTGATGAGGTTTCGTTGATACTTTACGTTGATTCTTCTATGCTTTCACAGTTGGTTTTCTTTTGGTATGGGTTCATATCTTGGCATTGTTCACAGATTATCAACCGCGTTTTCCTGCGGTGCGATTAATTTGGCCATGTTCGGGGTCCTTTGGAATGCCGTCGTCACCGATCACCACGCGGGCCTTGGCTACATAGGACGCAGAAGAACGTCTCGCTTTGGTCGTGTGATGTTGAGATGAGGGATAGGCTGGAGGAAGCTATTTTCTTGCGCTACCTGTGAAGTTTCATCTTTGCACTTGAGCGTATCGGGTGTTAGTGAACGAGGAAAACATGGGGGTGCTGTACTTGGCCAAGAACCCCGGCTGCTACCCCCAACTCCAAGCACATTGACTTCCGGCAACGGGCAGATCAGGATAGAACACTATTCGGGAACGGGCAGCACGGAAGCGCATCAGGATAGAGTATGTGACGAAGGCTTCCCATCATGCCGATTATCTGACCAAGCCGGTCGTTAGGCAGCGTTTGGTTTTCACACTGGTTATGTGATGAACATCAATTCACCGTTCTTGTCGCTATTTCTCTTTTGTTTCTTGGTGGTCGCCTCGGTTCATTTTTATGTTTGTTTTTGCTTCTGTTCCGTTTGCGTTTGCTTTCTTTCATCTGATTGGTTCGTCACTGCTGGCGTTATGTCATCAAACCCTAATGGTGGAGGGTGATTCGTGTGCCCATGGTTCTACACGGAACTTGCAGCGATTGCTTTCGTATGTAGTTCACTCGCGTTCAGCTGGGGGGGGGGTTCGGCGTAATTAGACCCATGTTTCTTGGAGGGATTGCAACAACGTGTGACGCTATCTCGCGATGAAGGGATAGTGTGAGGTGCAGGATTGTGGATGCCTGGGATCACTGGTTGGTCTCTGCTATCGGGACGGCGTCTTGTGCGTGTGTTCTGGTAACAGGTCAGGTGCTTGTGTTCGCGAATTCCTAAAGGCGTTGTGTTGACATGGAACGGCGGGAGACTGCTCGCATATTGTTATCTTTTCAGGTGTATTTTATCCTTGAATAACGATAGCAACACGGATGCTGCTTGGCAGGTGCACGCTCTATCGTTTATGGTTCTCGGAATCTATTCTGGAGGAAGGACTGACATGTCGAATTATCATGTTGGTTAGGGCGTAATTATGTTTCTTGGGGGAGTTGCAACAGCGTGTGACGCTATCTCGGGATGAAGGGATAGTGTGAGGCGCAGGATTTTAGCTGGCTGGGATCACTGGTTGGTCTCTGCTATCGTGACGGCGTGTTGTGCGTGTGTTCTGGGAACATACAGGTGCTTGTGTTCTCAATTTCCGAAAGGCGTTGTCGTGAGATGGAAACGTGGGGGGGCTGCTCCCATATGTATGTTTGTAGTTGTATTTTATTCTTGAATATCGATAGCAACACGGATGCTGCTCGGCAGGTGCACGCTTTATCGTTTCTTCGAGAAAGGACTGACAAGTCAAAGTATCATGTTGGTTGGGGTTCTTGTGCTTTCTCAATGGATATTCTGACGGGATCATCAGTTGGGATTTGTTGGCTACACAATTTGGGCCTCTGCAGCATCAGGGTGTTGGCTTTGAGCGGTCTACACTGCACACGATCGTCCCCACGCTATCGGCTTCAAAGGACAGCAGTTGTCAGCGAGCAATCACAATTTGGCGGTTCACCCATACGCCAGAGCAATGATTGATTATGCACACCGGCCCGGTTTACTTGGAAAGAATCGCATGGTCGAGACGGCGGTCGCTGTCCACTGATCCTGTGCTGCCGTTACTGGCGTCACCGCCAAGGAGAGGGGAAACCGGGTGGCGCGACAAACTCGGCCAGTACCAACATGGCAAGTTCCTACATGAGACACGTGGTTCTTGGTTTTCCGTCGAGCGTTGGGATTTGTCATTCACGGGCGTCGAGGCCTGATGCTACATTGTCCGGGCTTTTTCGCTGAAAATTGGTTCGAGGATGTGGGTGTGGATGATATTGATGTTGATGATGATTGTCGTCGTGGTTTTCCAACTACAACGCATTTCTAGCGCACACATTTAAGGCACATTTATGGCGCATTTCATCGTTGCATGTTTACACAACTCGCTACACAGAGTTGACGTGCACTATGGAATGCATACGTCCACCCTTGGCCTACCAAAACGTTGCGGAGACGCCGCGCTCGAGCGGTGTAGCCACTTCACTTCCTCGGCAGCAAGAACGGCTGCAGTATTACTGTAGTTCGGCCCTAGCCTTAGAGTACCCCCAACAAAAGTGAACCTACTGCAAAGCCCATTACCACATTGTTGAAAGCAAGCCAACGAATATCGTCGGCGTTGCTGTAGTCCCAACCTGGCTTACTTTTTTTGCTCACAGTTTCGGGCTTGACAACGGAAGCGGGGACAGACTCCTCATGTACGCATGACGTGAAGACACGACAGGTAGGCGTACCGTGCTTAAAGTAGTGGCGTTTTGATGATCGTGAAAAAAGCAACAGTACACTTACGCTAAACGCTCGGTACCGAGCCAAAGGAGAACGGCCTACTTTTTACATAGTAGGACGCCAGGAAAGAATTTGCGATCTGATGCCCGAGTGTGTCTGTTGTGCGGCAGTCTCGCGGTTGATGCTCGATCGCATGTGGAATCTACTGTTGTTATTGTGCAACGACTACATCATCCTTGGTGGATACAAGATGGCGATGGCCACCGCCTCGTTTTGGCTCTATTGACTAGAATTTAGAATGGTGTGAATTTTTATCTTGGTTTCAAAGGAGGCGTGTGGAGGTAGACGCGTGAAATGTATGATTTGAGCAGCCTCTGCTGCCGACCTGTGCGAGAATCAGCGATTTCTGTTTTTCGCGGTGCCTTCCTACTGGTCTGGTGTGTCTGTTGTGCGATTTCTGGTGTTCTTGCGTTTGTTTTCAAAATTTGTCAACATCAATATTCATTCGTCTTCTGCACCCCCTTAAAAGAACGGCGCGG